GAATGCGTACTCCAATTTCCAGATATTCTGTTTGTGGTACTATACACAAGGTTGTTCAATCTATTGACCTCTTTATTAGATAAGAAGGGAAAGTACAAAGACAAAAAAATTGAAAGTTGATTTTCTACCTTCCATTTTTGAAATAAAAAATGGAATCAAAGCGAAACATTGAGTTGTTACTTCTAACTTTTTCACTGAGATTAAATAGTCAAATGACAGAGAATATTATCAACAGATAAACTGATAAGCAAAGCTATGAATTGAAAAACACTAGAACATTTAGATACATGTAATTAACATTAATGACAAAGATCGCAGACTTTTCATTTTCTTTTCTTTTGAAAGAAAAAAAAAAATCAACTCGTTTGATGTATCATTATTTATGTATTTACAAAATCAGTACACAATTTAGAATGTCAAAAACACCTCAAGAAAGACAAGTTTTAAGGTAAAATAGAAGGTGCATCTCCGATTAACAGGGCGGCCCGTCCATAAAGCAGGTAAAACCATTGCTTTAGGCCCCATTTTTTTTTTCTCATAGGCAATATATAAATTCTAATTTTTTTATGTGAAGTTAAAAAATTTTAGTAAGGATTTTTAACTGAATTGATTTCTGCCAAGGAAATTGCATTTGAAATTAATATTGAACCCGAATTTTATAAGAAACGTGTAATATATAGGAAGAAACAATTTGAGGAGAATGTTAATAGTGAAATCTCAAAATCTCTCCAAGAGTCCTTTAGAGTTGATTACTTTTTATACATACTCTCTTTGGTCCATAATAAATGACTTTTTAACCTTTGATGTACCCCTTAAGAAAATACTGACTCCTAGAAAAAAAAAATATTTTGACTGAATTATCCTTAATTAAAATTTATATGTTGTTAACTTGACACATTGAGATATGTAAATAAAGGCAAATTTTGAAATAATAAAGTTAATTCCTTCTTGATTATATAAAAGGATACTTATTTTGGACCAGAATAAAAGCCAAAAAAGTCACTTATTATGGACCGGAGAGAGTAGTAGACAAGGTTATTTTTTCACTTTAAAATAGATTTGAACAATTAGAGGCATATGAAAATATTTTTGGTTTTCTATTTAGCGGTAAAAACTGAGATCACTAGATGATGGAAATTTGAAAAAAAAAATATTGCCTTCATCTTGAATGCTCCTTAAATCATAATAATCAACCCGATATTGATAGTTTAGATTTATTTTCTGAATTAAAAATATTAAGAAAAATAGTACAATTGATAACAATATAACTTATATACTCAATCAAATAAAAAGATTTGATTATTTTCCAAAGGCCTATATTACTTATAGAATAATGTTAATAACTCCTATTAACATTGCTTAAGTGGAAAAAATTGTTTCAAAATTAAAATTGATAAAACCTTACCTAAGATCAACAATATCTCAAAGATATTAAATGAATTAGCTATATTGTCAATTGAGAAGGACTTGTTAATATTAAATGAATTAGTTATATTGTCAATTGAGAAAGACTTGTTAGGAGAAATTGATTATAAAAAATTAATAATAACTTTGCATATAAAAAAATTTTAAAAAATAGACTTTAAATAAAAATGAAATATTTTTTATTAATAAAAAAGTTAAGGCCCCTCGTAAAACACGAAATTGGTTGGGCTGCCCTGCCGAATTAGTTATCCCTCTTTGGCAATTTAAGATCATTTTGACTGCACAAATTTTCTTGAAAGTGGAAATGATTCGACATGACTCTTTATAATTTGAATAAAAGAAAATAACTCAAGAAACATTTTTTTTGTTGTATTTTCATGAGAAATTAACTTAAATAGCTATCTATCATAAAAATAAATAGTCCGCAACCTTTTTTAGCTGAGTGACTAAAAAAATAGTCCGCTATCATATTATATNTACATGGCATATTCCCCAATGGGACTAGTTTTGGCGGGATGTCCCTGTATTATTGGTCTTACTGAAACATTTCTATCTTTTACTTGAACCCCATAGTTCTTCAATATTTAAAGCTTTAAATTTTTGTTTGGTGGTGAAAAGTTGAAGGTTAGTGATCCATTATAGTTAAAATCGTTTGAATATTGATAATTTATGCTTAAATTTTAGTTCAAATATCGATTTTGTGATTTACGGTAAATAACTCAAGATTTAATTATTGGATCTTAGAAAGTGTTGAGGAAGACAAAGTGAGTCTTTTTGATATGATGTTGTTTGACTAAAACATATAGGTAGAGTAAATATAGCATAAACTCAACCAATCCAGTAGAGAAATCCGTGAAGAGCAAAATTATGCCAACCTGGTAGACTCTAATAAACAATTTAACGGATAGGTAAAGCAATAATAGCACAACCTCTACTAATCCGAGAGAGAAATTCTTGAAGAGCAAAATCATGCAAATTAGGTAGATTTTGATGAACAATTCAAGAGTAAATACAATACAAACTCTAATTCAAGAGTAAATACAATACAAACTCCATCAATCCGGAAGAAAATTTTTGAAGAGCAATAATTATGTGCGGATTCGAGAGCCATTTTTTAAATACCGCCAATTTTAAGGATATTTGGCTAAAACCAGTACCTTGCGGGACCATTCTAATCAATAACCCAAGAAATAATTATTTGAGACTAAACGTTGAGCATGGTTTTGATGATCAAATATGTCTATCAGATTGCTTATGGTTATGGTTTCCACTTTACTCTTTCGTCTCAGGTTCTATATATGGCATACATAGTTCCAAGAACGTTACTGCCTAGAATAACTCAGCTTCAACACAAATAGACTTAAGTTACTGGCTAGAATAACTGAACTTCAAGACAAATTGGAAGTCTATGAAGCTGCCGATAGTGAATGTACCGAGCCTGAGAGAGAAAGTTGTCATACATGAAGACTACATCAATGGAGATTGATGAATTGGGGGAAAAATTGACCTACTCCCGTAGATAAGGGATAATTTTAGAGCCAAAATGAATAACGTTGTAGTATTGGACAATGGGGCGGGCCTAATCAAGGCTGGAATCGGCGGCGAAAGAGACCCAACAGCTATTGTCCCAAACAGCATGGGGCGTCCACTTTCTTCCAAGAAATGGCTTATGGCGGATCAGCTCCTTTCCCCTGACGTTGACCTCACTTCCGCCACCGTCCGCCGCCCTTTCGATCGCCGTATCAACCCGGACCTCCAGTCCTCCCTTTGGTCCCATATCTTCTCCAACTCCAACCTCCTCAACATCACTCCTTCCCAATCCTCTCTCCTCCTCACTGAACCCCTTTTCAATATTCCTTCAATACAACGTTCCCTTGATGAAATCGTCTTTGAAGATTTCAATTTTAAGGCTCTCTATGTTTCGGATTCACCCTCTTTGGTCCATCTCTATGAGGCATCTCGTCGCCCTTATGGGATTGTGTCTAAAGCCCAATGCAGCTTAGTTGTGGACTGTGGATTTTCGTTTACTCATGCCTCACCCGTGTTTCAGAATTTCACATTGAATTATGGAGTGAAAAGGCTTGATCTTGGTGGGAAAGCTTTGAGCAATTTCTTGAAGGAGTTGGTGAGCTACAGGAGCGTTAATTTGATGGACGAGAATTTCCTTATGGATGATGTCAAAGAGAAACTCTGCTTTGTGTCTTTGGATGTTGCCAGGGACTTGCAGATTGCTAGGGAACCGGGAAATGACAATTTGTTTAGGTGCACGTATGTGCTTCCTGATGGCATTACACATACTAAGGGGTTCCTAAAAGATTCGGAAGAAGCAAAGAGATACCTGTCTTTGTATAATGATGAAGCAGCTCCAAAGCAGCAAGTAGCAGCAGGAGAACAAACGGGTAAGCTGTGGAGCAACGATGGATCAAGAAGAATTGATTTGACAAAAAATGAATTTGGGTTGACAAATGAGCGGTTCCTCGTCCCAGAGATGATGTTTCGTCCAGCTGACTTGGGGCTGAATCAGGCTGGACTTGCAGAGAGCATTGTTAGAGCTATCAGTTTCTGCCATTCTCATCTTCAACCTCTTCTCTATGAGAGCATCATTTTGACGGGAGGCACTACTCTATTCCCTCATTTTGCTCAAAGACTAGAAATGGACCTTCGGCCTCTTGTCCCAGATAAATACCGTTTAAAGATTACGACTCAAGAAGATCCTATACTAGGTGTTTGGCGTGGAGGATCACTCTTTGGCATCAAGTCCTGATTTTGATGCAATGTGCGTCATCAAAGCTGAATATGAGGAGCTGGGATCAGCTAGATGTCGAAAGAGATTCTTCCACTAACTTCTATGCTCATCTTTGGTGAAATGGAGGGAGAAATTAGGAGGATCACCGGCCTCTACAGTTGCAATTGAGCTAAATATGGATGTGTTCTGAAATGTCTCTTTTTGTTATCAATTTCTTTTTTGTATTTCAGGCCAAATTTGTTGAAGCCTAACCTATCTGAAATGAAATGTTAATGGCATCTTCAAATACCAAAAAATAATAAAAAATTCCAAGAGCTACAATCATGAGTTTGGATTTCCACTTCTCTCCCTTTATTATTCCGCTTTCATACCCAACCATATATGTGTTTGTCTGTATGCAATGCCGAAAATAATAGATCCAAAATCTATTGGTTAGCATTTCTTTGTCCCCCTTTTCTGGCACTTTCTGTTTACCAGGAAAAGTGTACGTTTCTCTCAACACTCTCAACACTGAACTAGCAATAAGAAGTGGTTGCGATTTCATAAGGTAAGCTTCAATTTGCCTCTGTTTCACTTGCACTCTGTTGATCATATTGGTTATGTGCTTGGCTTTTGTTATTGGTTGCTCAACTATTTGTTGTGTAAGTGGTTAACTAGTCTTTATTCTAGATCCAGTTTGACACTTGGTATGATGATTTCATGTGGTTCTGGTCTAAAATTTTGTTGACCATGAAAGTGGTTAAAAACTAAGAACGTGCATTGTTTGTTTCACGGCACTGTTTAATTGCCTCACGAAGTGAAGGAAGATGGGACCTTTTGACAATACGGAATGCTTTGCGGTGTACCTGAATTGATAATTGGCCCTGATTATCTGTGTAAGTGTCTCACCAAAAGAACATTAAATTTTTGTTTGTGTACTGGCTCACAAGTGATTTTACAAGGGAAAAGTCAAATACTGCTGACATAATTGATTGCTGGGAGAGTTATTCATTAGATTTTAAGGGGAAGTCATCAAGCTAAAAGGATTTATAAGATAAAATTTTCTCCCTGCTCTATAAGACAATTGATTAGTGTGAACATCTCCCTGCCACTTACGTCCTACGTTGGACTTCCCGAATGATCATACTGACGGAACCTTCCATACCCCATTGAGTTAGTCTTTTTGCCACATCGCATATGTTGGGAACAGAACCACTTTTGCCTGCCAACAGTAACCACAAAATTAGGAAAAGTCATTAAAATTGGGGCTGAGAGGTGTCGTTGTCCTGAGGTCCTCTTCCAGCCATCATTGGTTGGAATGGAAGCAACAGGAATTCATGAAAAAGCCTACAACTCAATCATGAGATGTGATGTTGATATTAGGAAAGATTTATTTTCAAATATTGTGATTGGTGGTGGTACAACAGAATGTATGAGCAAGGAAATCACTGCTCTTGCTCCAAGCAGCATAAAGATCGGTGTGGTTGTACCACCTGAGAGGAAGTACAGCGCCTGGATTGGGGGATCAAAGCGCTTGCCTCTGTAGTTTCAAACAAGTTAGTTTCTTTTCGCTTTACTTCACTGATAAGTCAATCGATCAATTTTCAACTCTTTTAAGCTCAAGGGATTTAGTAGCTAACACCTACGTCCCATGCAGATATGTATAACAAAGGGCAAGTATGATGATTTGGTCCCTCAATTGTCCACATGAAGTGTCTCTAAGCTTGGTGAGCTCTTAAATCCTCTCTTCTCAAGTTCCATCTAATGGTTTCTATTTCAATGAGAGATCAGTTTCGATTTCTATTTCAATTAGAGATCAGTTTCTATTTCAAGTTATACCCAATCTTGTGAGCACTGTGATATTTTATTTTCTGGTTGTTCCGTTATCATGCTAATTTTGCTGGCTCGGGTTTATATTTTTATTTCAAGTGATTTGGCTAGTAAGCCATGAAAATGATGGATCGTCTGTGACTAATGTCTGTTCTATTGCTTTTCAGGTTAGGCACATTTGGTTATATATTTTTTGAGAAATTTTCATAAAACACTATCTTTTCGTGGTAACTAGCTATTTATAGATACCATTTGCTATATTACGGATTGTAGATACGTTTTCTGTCATTATAAGATGTATTAGATGTATTTAAGCTACTGTATTCATGAATACAGTAGCAAAAATAGGCATGAATCAGGGAAGTCCAGCTAATCAATTGTTGTATTCGACTGTATTCATGGCGTGTAACATGGGATTACAGCTGGACAGATTATTGTATTCGACTGTATTCACGGCATGAAATAGGGGATTACACTGTTTTTAAACGGAAAGTGAATCAATTAATATAATAGACTCCTAATATAATCAACAAACTCAATTATAACAAACAAATTTTATATTTCCAGTTATAAAAAAGATTCTCAACCGAAAAATACCCCAAAAATAAGCAATCTTCAGAAAAATTATATAATACATCTGAATACATAAATTATATTAATTAAAAAAAATATGAATACATTCATGACATATAGCGAGACGGTGAATACAATGAAATACATAGAATACAACGGGATACATTGAAATACAATAAAAAAAAAGATAGTGAATACAATGAAATACATGAAATACAACGAGATACATTGAATTACAATGAAAAAAAAGATAATGAATACAATGAAATACATGAAAATATAGCGTGATATGTTGAAAATACATTGAAATATATTAACAGAAAATCAAATTGCTCAGCCCCAAACTCCGTCGTCTTTGTTCAAGAACAAACCCTAATTTCCGGCGAATCCGTCGTCGAGCAAAAACCCTGAATCTCACTGTTCCCACGCATTACCATTGTAGCAGAATTTGCAAATTTATTTGTGGTTTAATTACCTGCAGTGTAATTAATAACCTCGAAACTCAAACCGGATGCAAAATTCGGTTCGAAGATCCTTTACCAAATTGCCATGAACAGGTTATAAACATCACTGGTGACTCAAATATAGATAAGAAAATAGGGATAAGCTATAATAACAACAAAGAAGTTGAGGAGGTAGTGGAAGTTTCTAGAGCACAAGAGGTTTGATTCAAGTTTACGAAAGGGTATTGCGGGTTGAAGGAAATGAAGGTCGGGCAGTTGGGTGTAGATTGCTCGCAATTAAAAGTCAAATTGAAAATCACCGTTTGTGAGTAATGATAGGTGATGTGGGTGAGAGGAATTTTGAGATTGAGCATCGTATTTTCAGAGAATGGGGGAAGAGAATGACATATATCAAAATAGAGAGAAAGAAAATAGTGTAACTGAATAGCGTATTTAGTGGCTTAGGGGTAGGAGGTAACCAAAATTAGATATTTTGCTATAAACATTAAAATGTATCTATAGAATATAATTTTTTTAAATGATATTTATTTAAAATAAATAAGGTGTTAACCTTTGCTATAGGAGGTAAAAATTTCATATTTTTTTCACCAGCAAAGGCATTCTGAGTTTTTTGTGATATGGAGATTTGCTTGGCCTTCCTGGAAAACAAGCTCTTTTCGCTTGGTTTCACAGTCGAAGCCCAACTAGAAAGAGTACTCTGTGTATATCTATATCTATCTATATATTAATATAAATGTGGGCAATCAAGAAGCTTATATGACATGCCTCCTAAGCCATCATTCTTATTTATCTTTTTTCTCAGATATTTACAATTATTTTCTGTTTTCCCGATCTTCTATTCATTTTCCATTGTGATGTTAAAGCCTTAATAAAAGGTTTCAGTTATAAAATTGATTTTTCTTTCGGTTACAGCTTTTGTGATCCTGGATTTCTCCAAATTCTTTCAGTTACACCTTTATAGATGCATCCCTTAATTACAGAATTTGAATGGAATCTTCACCATTATATTTTAGAAACCACTATATAAGCACACATTGTGCAGTAAAATTTAGCAAAAATAGGTTTATTGTTAAGATGAATGAGGTCAAGGGACCAAGCCATTAGCAATCCAAGGTCATTTTCTAATTTCACGTACGGCATCAACACCACTGCTATCTGGCACTCCTCTTGGATCAGCGCACTATATCATACTATATAGAAATAGCTCTTACGAATATCATGGGTAGAAGCAAGCGAAGTAGAAAGGAAACAGGGGTCAGAAGCATTGTAGAAATTCTTCATTCAAGCAACAACCACTTTGATATACTTTTTTTTTTTTTTTTTTTTTTTTTTTTTTTTTTTTTTTTTTTTTTGCATGGACTTGTGTGAATGTAGTTTTTTTTCTCTTTCAATTTCAACTGTCCCCTCTCCCATTTTTTCATTGAAGCACTGATCGTTTATATATTAAAAAGGAACAATTCCACTTTATAGGCTAAAATGATACAACTTATAAGAGTTTTCTAGGAAAATTTTGATTTTTGGGGATTTTGCACAAAATTAGGAGGAATATATATCGGTATAGAAAAGGAAAATGAAAACAAACAAAGAGTAAAAGGAACAACGAAATATAAAAAGGAAAGCTCCATTTACAAAGTCAGACCGAGATTGAAGCATTGGTAAATAATTAAATATGATTCAAATGCAGTCTGATCTATATTTTCAAAGCATTGGAAGTTTTGAGTTACTTAATTTGCCCTTTTTTCTTTTACCACTTGATGCTTTACAGTAAATAGATATTAGGTTAAATAAACGAAATAAATGTGTAAAAAAATATCAGATATTAGGGTAGGTATAAACATATTTATAGAAAGTATAAGTAAATTTTATTCAGTAAAAAATTGGAATATGACAACTATTTCTTTAAATATAACAAAAAGATTATAAAATGGATTATAAATCATTTAAGAAATATTTGAATCATTATGCTATAACCTATTTCACATTATTATATAATCCAATTAAAATTTTGGCATATGAAGATAAGTGAAAAAAAGAAGAAGAAGAGCAATAGTCACAACAGGGTATTGAAAACTTTCCACGACTGCAATACTCGATACTATATTTAAAGAACGACCGATATTTTTTGTAATAAGAACTGAGCATTTTTAATTAAGAGAGAATCACATCTTGATGAATTGATATACATTTTATAACTGATTCATTTGATTAGTCAATTATATTATTTTGATTAGTTAGATACGCCAGTAAACAAAACGAGTATAAATTGATCATTCAATATACGTATTTTGTTGACACATAGTTGCTTCCTATTATTGCCTCAGGAACCATAACTTGCTTTTGACCCTAGAAATATTTTGACAATTTCATTTTAGGCTTTTTGTAGTTACGATAACTTCTCTTTAGTTTTCACTAAATATGTAGGTGATATTTGACTTTTAGTTTGGTTTTCCAAAATTTAAGTTTCACCAAAATTCATATCAGTTTTATACTTGTATTTATGAATTTTTTTAGTTTATCATATAAAAGAAAAATAAAGAAGTTTAAATTTTACAACATATCTAATGATATCTTTTATGATCACGCATTGCGCGATAAAATTCACTAGTATCTATATAAAGGAGGGACTTGACAAGATGATGTGGCATCTTTCATAGTGTAGGAATCTTATTTATCTTTTTCCTTATTTTTTGACATTTTTCTTTCATTTTAACCATTTATCTTATTTTAAAAATTCACACCATAACTCATTTTTTTCCTGTTATGTGCTAAGAGAAAACCAAAAGTTATGTCTTTTAATCTTCTTAATTCACTTCTCTTTCTCTTCCTCTTTAAGAGTCATTTAACTTAATTAACCTCCCCCCTTCCCTTTCTGCCTCACACATGCCCGTTATCACATGTTATTTCCCTTTCTATCCATACAGCCTACCCTTCTATTATTCATACCACCACCGTTCTAATATGGAGAATATAACATCCTTTTGTAATCATTTTTTCCGTTTTTCGTTCTATATGTTTTTCCAGTTTTCCTTTTTGCCTAGAGAATTGTTACTTTAAATATAATTTTATTTACCAGTTTCATAGAGAATTGTTATTTTGAATGTAATTTTATTTATCAGTTTCGTAGCTTTTTACAGTTTTATTACCTAAAATATTCTCACTTTGGCTTCATTCTATTTACCATGTTCTTTATCTTCTTAGAGTTTTTTGTCTACAACATTGTTTCTTTGTATGTAATTTTATTGATCCTTTTTTTCTTTCTTCTTCTAATTCCATTAATATATTCTTTATATTTCTTTGATTTGGTGGATGTAGTTTCATTTATCCTTTTTTTTTATTTCCCGGAGATTTATTTATGTGTTATTTTTGGCTGATAATTATCATTTTCAATTGATGTTACTCTTTTTTTTGGTTTCAATCTGTTTTGGGACCTGAGAATGAAACTTTATATCAGCAACATTCGAACATTGCAGTGGAGTTTAATTTTGAGAAGAAAACAGTAGGAATGGATCTTATCCAAGGAGGGAATTGGCAAGATGACATGGCATGTCCATAGTGTAGGAATTCTATTTATTTTTTTCTTATCTTTTGGCATTTTATTTTTTATTTTAACCATCTATCTTATTTTAAAAATTCACATCCATAACTCACATCTTTTGACTGAGGGTTATGACATTTCAAGTCCATAACCCCCAATTGTTTAATATGTTATAAATTGCATTTTGGATTATAACTTTTCGAATCCATAACCCCCATTTGCTTAATGTATTATAAATTGCATCTTCCTCCATTTTTTCCTCCTACTACTTTTATATTTAGTAACTTTATGGAGTGTGTTTGATTTGCAATAAGTCTTCTTAGTTATTAAAACTTTCACTATTGTGACCAGTTATGAGTTTGTAATAGGATGCACCTGTTGCTCTAATAGCGTTGACAAAACCTTTTCAGAAGCCAAAAGTAACATGACTTGCGGATAAGTAATATGATCTTGCTGATGTTCATTATCCAATGGCGATTTAATTCATCTAATGAAATAAGTTATTTACATATTTGCTTTTATTGACAAATTTTTGAAAACTATATCTATTTATATTTACATTTTAACTCACCTGCTTGATTTTTGGAGTCTTAAATGGGATGGTTTAGTGGAGGATCCTATAAGCCTAGGTGATATTCATTGCTTTTTTTTTTTTTTCGAGTATAGGATAGATTGNTTAAATGGGATGGTTTAGTGGAGGATCCTATAAGCCTAGGTGATATTCATTGCTTTTTTTTTTTTTTCAGAGTATAGGATAGATTGTGCTATGATGATCGAAAAAGAATGGGGAGGAGGAGGCGGCAGATTACAGGGTAAGGGAAGAAGACAGAGAATTGCATAGAAAGAGAAAGAGAAAAATTAGAGAGAAAAATAAAAGCACAGTAAATAAAAAAGAATCTAAATATGCTGAATAAATAATAATACATAGCAAAGGAAAGAAAATGGAAATACAAATGTAAATGATCCTATCATGAAGTCAAAGATGTTACCTCCAAGTGATTCTCCTTTGTTTTCCTCAAAAATCTCTCTTAAAAGCTTCAAACCTGGATGAAAATGATGAAAGAATCCCTCAAATTCGCGAAGGCAACTATTTATATGTTCTGCACAGTGATTTGCGGTCCCGCATCTGCGGTCCCGCATGTCCTACTCCTTATATTACTTTTCTAAAGTTGCACATGAAATGAACATAGTATCTTAATATAACATTATTGTATCAATAAGATACATGGTATAAAATTGGTTTGACAGTAACAATATTTTGGAATTGAATTAACCTACTGATGGTGATAGCTAAACAAACTCAAAATATCTATTCAAATCTAATCATTATTTTACGTTTTCGGGCAGATGACTAACCAAAAAGAATAAAGGGTTACAAATAACTATTGCAGACTATACAATATCCAGCTAAAGAAATCCAGAAGTTAAACATTTACATATAATTTTTTTATTTTTAGATTATTCTTAATGCATCATATCTTAAACTGCTAATCACCATCTCTCTTCAGTCATAACTTAATAAGCAATATACCTGGTCTGCTGTCCCAACAGAATGGACATGTCAATTTTTGTATCAAACATTAAATCTGAAGAGATTAATGTTGAATGAGGATATACAACAAGCAATAATACTTGAAAGTCTAATTTATACAACCCACTAAAAATTAGTCTTTGGTTTCAATATTAATATACACATTCAGTACCCTCAATAAAGATTAATTAGAGTGAATCTGAGAGCTTCTAACCCAAAACCTTGAAGTGAGGGTGACATAGTGCACTGCCAATTCGCCATTATGAACTAACAAGGCTTATCACAAGTTGAATAAATAGTAGCTTTTTTTAGTCATTACCCTATTAATGTTTTCAGCTAGCAACAAGAGAATGTATCCATTATGAATTAACTAGGTTTATGTTATTAACAAATAAAATAAATAAGTAAAATGACAAGTTACAACAGTTGCAAAATTTGAAAGATCAATATAGCTTCAATTGCAACATCAAAGGAAACAACCCATACTTTAGAAGACTGACAGTGGATAATACCAACAAAACCTTGAAGAACATGGAAATTTTAACACTTTCAAGACAGGAGTTCCCAAAAAAAGATCAACTTATCTTAATAGAATGAAATAAAGAAAAATATTAACAAGGCAAAAAGATGAAGAACTTAAAGCAAATAACAGAGACTTCACAGACCTGTGATCTATGCTAAATTATATATAGGATAAACATTGTGTTCATGAGTACGGACGTTGGTAGCCAGAGATTAAAGTTTTCTATTTTTTCCTTATCAAGGGAGAGCGGATTACTACAATAAATTTTGAAGATTGTAATTACATTGGAAACCAATAATCAATTGAAGTTATCCATAACCAAGAAGTTTCATTCACAGAAAGTGTGTCATTGTCAAAAAGGGACTTTCTCAAAATAGGATAAGTAATTTGTAAATCTTAACCAAAAAAGGTATTGAATTAATTGATTAACGAGTACTGAAAAATTATACGAATAAAAGAGAGCATTGATATTTTACCCGAATAGTTAAAAAAGTGTCATTTGCGTGATCCTATCTTGCTCGAAATTAGGGATTAAACTGAAATAAGTTGTGACACAAGCCTTTTAGCTTGCTATCATGGAATTCAACCTGAATATATTGTTAATCAACAACCTAGAAGTACATAGAACCTTTGTGGGTACCAAACATCATCTGATGAATACCCCAACTAACAAAACTGTTGACAAAAAAAATTGTCTCCTTAGATAATAGATAGATTACACAGTCCTCTTAAATGGCTAGTAGTAAACCCGACAACGCCCCTGAAAATTATAATATTAGAATAAAATTTAACTATATCGTTTAAAATTAATTATACATGTATTTGAACATAACCTCTTTAAACATATGAAAAAAATAAAACAATAGGCGCTAATCAAAAGATTTATAAAGGCAAAAACAAAGCAGTGAACATAAGGGGAAAGAACAAAGATACCTTGGTACCCGAACCCTAGTGACGAAGGCTTTGCCAGACGCCAATGATCTATGAAGCGATTGCTACTGGGTCTTCCTTGTTTCTGAGGCGCTCACCAATTTTAGAAGTCAGATCTGTCCTATGGTAAAGATTGTGATGAGCAAATAATTGCAGGGTTAGCCAAATCGAAGTATGTATGAGGTTTGCCGGAGTTTTGTGCAGGTTAGGCCATCGCTGGAGGGATTGGGGGTTTGCTGGAGAAGTGTGCTGGTGAAGTTTTCGCTGTTTGAGATTCACTGTAGGTGCGGGATTCGACAAAGGATTGAGGTTCGCCGGTAGGATCCGTAGCTATGCGCATGTGAAACCTTCCCTCGTTGGAGTTTTACGATATGTTTTCATTATGTTCGATGCTACTGAAAGAGGAACCTTTTTAGAATTAAAACACAATACAAAAAGAGGTGGCAGGCTTAATAAAATTAGAGAGGGAAAACAAAACCGTAGCAATAGCCTTTTTTCTTAAAAACCGTCGCCATAGATAACTCTATTGCAACGGTTGATGTAACCGTCACAATAGAGTTTTCTGGTGCAACGGTTATTAACCTAGAGCAACGGTTTACATTCATAACTGTCTCGATAGGTCTATGAGATATATGCAACGGTTAAAACTGTTCCCATAAATATGCTACTGCAACGGTTTTGCAACCGTTACTATAGAAACCGTTGCAATAGGTCAAATTTCTAGTAGTGTCACTTAAAACCCAATTTTCGCATTTGCGGAGCATTTACCGTAGGAGCGGTTCCACTTCTGCGAGCCCTTCACCGCATCTGCGGTTCCTAAGGAGTTGACCCAAAGCTGCATCTGCGGTCTCCAAATCGCAGATGCGAAAATACTAGAAGCATAAAAAATACAGCAGCTGCAACATCTTCTCAATTTCTCATTAACCATCTGAAATCACCCCGAGGCCCCCGGGACCTCAACCAAAGGCATCAACATATCCTAAAACCTAATTCAAACTTGTACCAATCTTCAAAACACTTCAAACAACATCAAAAAAAACCAAAACACATCGAATTCAAGCCTAAGTTTCAAAAATCTTCTAAATTCCGCTTTTGATAAAAAACCCAACCAAACCACGTCTGAATGACCTGAAATTTTGTACACACATCCCAAATGACACAACAGAATTACTGCAACTCTAGAAATTCCATTCCGACCCTCGGATCAAAATCTCGCTATCGAACCGGAAACTTCAAAAATTCAACCTTCGGCATTTCAAGCCTAAATTAACTACGGACCTCCAAAACACAATCCGAACACGCAACTAACCCCAAAATCATCCAAAGGAGCTAATGGAACCATCAGATTTCCATTCCGAGGCCGTCTTCACACTGTTTCGACTACAATCAACTTTCCAACACTTAAGCTTTCATTTAGGGACTAAGTGTCCCAAAACTCTCCGAAATTCAAAACCGAACATCCCGCAAATCACATTAGCAGAAACAAACTTGGGGAAATAAGTTAATAGGGGATCGAGGCGTTAATTCTTAAGACGACCGGCCGGGTCGTCATATCCTCCTACACTTAAACATTCGTTCGTCCTCGAACGAGCATAGAGACATACCTGAAGTAGTGAAAAGATGAGGGTAACGACTGCGCATATCCTGCTTGGTCTCCCAGGTCGCCTCTTCGACCGACTGACCCCGCCACTGAACCTTCACTGATGCAATGTTCTTTGACCTCAACATTCTGGCCTGCCTGTACAATATTGCCACTGTCTCCTCAACATAAGATAGATCCTTGTCCAACTGGACTGAATTGAAATCCAACACGTGCAACAGATCACCGTGATACCTCCGGAGCATCGAAACATGAAAAATCGGATGAACTCCTGCCAAGCTGGGAGGTAAGGCAATCTCATAAATAACCTTCCTAACACGCCTCAATATCTCAAAAGGGCCAATAAACCTCGAACTCAACTTCCCTTTCTTCCCAAATCTCATAACGCCTTTCATAGGCGAAACTCGAAGTAAAACCCGCTCTCCAACCATATAGGAAACATTATGAACCTTCCGGTCCACGTAACTCTTCTGTCTGGACTGGGTTGTACAGAGTCTATCCTGAATCACCTTAACCTTCTCCAAAGCATCCTGAACCAAATCTGTGCCCAATAGTCTAGCTTCACCCGGCTCAAACCAACCCACCGGAGATCTACATCGCCTACCATATAAAGCCTCATACGGTGCCATCTAAATGCTGGATTGATAACTGTTTTTGTAAGCAAACTCCGCCAATGGAAAAAACTGATCCCAAGACCCTTCAAACTCCATCACACACGCACAGAGCATATCCTCAAGAATCTGAATAGTGCGCTCGGACTGTCCGTCCATCTGAGGGTGAAATGCTATACTCAACTATACCCGAGTACCCAACTCATGCTGAACGACCCTCCAAAACCGTGATGTGAACTGAGTACCTCTATCCGAAATGATGGAAACTAGAATACCATGCAGATGAATAATCTCCCGGATATAAATTTCCGCCAACCGCTCCGAAGAATAAGTAGGACACATAGGAATAAAATGAGCGGACTTGGTCAGCCGATCCACAATCACCCAAATAGCATCAAACTTCTTCAAAGCCCGTAGGAGTCAAACTACAAAGTCCATGGTGATCCGCTCCCACTTCCACTCCGAAATCTTTATCTGCTAAAGCAACCCAACCGGCCTCTGGTGCTCATACTTCACCTGCTTACAATTGAGGCACCGAGCTACAAATCTAACTATATCGTTCTTCATCCGCCTCCACCAATAGTGCTGCCTCAAGTCCTGATACATCTTCGCGGCACCTGGATGGATGGAATACCACGAACTATGGGTCTTCTCTAGAATTAACTCTCGCAGCCCATCAACATTGGGTACACAAATTCGACCCTGCATCCTCAATACCCCATCGTCACTAATAGTCACATCTCTGGCATCATCGTGCTGAACCTTGTCCTTGAGGACAAGCAAATGAGGGTCATCATACTACCACTCCCTGATACGATCAAATAAGGAAGACCGAGAAACCATACAGGCTAGAACCTGACTGGGCTCCGAAAGATCCAATCTCACAAACTGGCTAGCTAAGACCTGAACATCCATCGCTATAGGCCTCTCTGATGCTGGTAAATATGCCAAACTCCCCAAACTCTCCGCCTGGCGACTCAAGGCATCAGCCACTACATTGGCCTTGCCCGGGTGATATAAAATAGTGATGTCATAATCCTTCAGCAACTCCAAGCACCTCATCTGGCGCAAATTTAGATCCTTTTGCTTGAACAAATGCTGCAAGTTTTGATGGTTAGTATAAATCTCACAGGGAACCCCGTATAAATAATGGCACCAAATTTTCAAGGCGTGAACAATGGCAGCTAACTTAAGGTCGTGAACGGGGTAGTTCTTCTCATGAATCTTCAACTATCTGGACGCGTAGGCAATCACCCTACCGTCCTGCATCAACACTGCTCCGAGGCCAATCCTCGAGGAATCATAATAGACCGTATAAGATCCAGAACCTGAAGGTAATACCAAAACTGGGGCTGCAGTCAAAGCTATCTTGAACTTCTGAAAGATCGCCTCACACTCCTCCATCCACTGAAATAGAGCACCCTTCTGGGTCAATCTAGTCATAGGGGCTACAATCTATGAAAACCCCTCCACAAAACGATGGTAATAGCCCGCCAAGCCAAGAAAACTGTGGATCTCTATAGCTGAGGATGATTTGGGCCAACTCTGCATGACCACTATCTTCTTCGGATCCACCTGGATACCTTCACTCGATACCACGTGACCTAAGAATGCCATTGAATCCAACCAAAACTCACATTTCGAGAACTTAGCATATAACTTCTTCTCTCTCAGAGTCCGAAGCACAGTCCTCAAGTGCTGCTCATTATCTTGCTAACTCCGGGAATACACCAAAATATCATCAATAAAGACAATGATGAACGAGTCAAGATACGGCCGGAACAGACTGTGCATCAAATGCATAAAGGCTGTTGACGCATTGGTTAGCCCAAATGACATAACAATGAACTCGTAATGACCATACCGAGTCCTGAAAGCAGTCTTCGGGATATCTGGCTCTCGAATCTTCAACTGATGGTAACCTGAGTGCAAATCAATCTTAGAAAACACTCGTGCGCCCTGAAGTTGGTCAAACAGATCATCAATACGAGGTAAAAGATAACAGTTCTTCATTGTAACCTTGTTCAACTGGCGATAATCAATACATATGCGCATAGAACCATCCTTTTTCTTCACAAACAAGATAGGAGCACCCCAAGGTGAAATACTGGGTCGAATAAAACCCTTATTAAGCAATTCCTATAACTGATTCTTCAGCTCTTTCAACTTAAGAGAAGCCATACGATACGGAGGAATAGAAATAGGCTGAGTGCCCGGCAACAGATCAATGCCAAAATCAATATCTCTATCAGGCGACATGCTTGGAAGATCAGTTGGAAACATATCGGGAAAATCCTGTACTACTGGGACTGAATCAACTGAAGGGGTATCAATACTGACATCTCTCACATAAGCTAAATACGCGTCACACCCCTTCTCAACCATACACTAAGCCTTACGGAAAGAAATAACTCTACTAGGAGTGTGATTTAAAGTACCCCTCTATTTAACACGCGGTACACCTGGCATAGCCATCATCACGGTTTTGGCATGACAATCAAGAATAGCATAATGGGGCGACAACCAGTCTATGCCCAAGATAATATCAAAATCAACCACGCTGAGTAATAATAGATCAGCTCTAGTCTCAAAACCACTAAGAGCAACCAAACACGACCGATAAACGCGGTCCACCACAAGAGAATCTCCCACAGGAGTAAAAATTTAAATAGGGGAACTCAAAGAATCCTGAGGTACACCTAAATGCGGAGCAAAATAAGAAGACACATAAGAGTAAGTGGAGCCTGGATTGAATAGAACCGATGCATCTCTATGACAAACCAGTATAATACCTATGATAACAGAATCGGAGGCAACATCCTCGGTACGGGCAGGAAGGGCATAGTATCTGGCCTAGCCTCCCCCTCTAGGGCGACCTCTACCTCCCCGAACTCCACCTCTAGCTGGCTGAGCAGGTGGGGTAGCAACTGGAGCTGTAACCATAGCCTGAGAAGTCTGCGGGGCACGCTGTGGCTGAGAAGTCTGCGGAGCTACACCCTTCCCAAGTCTGGGGCAATCCCTCACCATATGGAGTGTGTCACCACACTCAAAACAAGCTTTGGGAGGATGTGGTGGCTGTGATTGGCTAGGGCCAGGTCTGCTGGACTGACCTTTGAAAGCACCCCACGTAGGAGGCGCACTAGTAACCGGAGGTACATAATAAGGCTCCTGAGGCCTAGGAGGAG